GGGTGCCAGGCAGATCTCTGTTGGAAGGCTGTTCCATAGTCGAGGGGCTACTGCCAAGAAGGACCGGTTTCTTGTTCTTTCTTTCTGGACCTCTCTTGGCATTAGACCCCTCAACCAACCCTCCTGGCTGTGCCGAGTAATTTGCGTAGATCTAGGTGGGAGAAGGTGATCTGCCAAATATCGAGGTCCCAAACCTTTTAGGGCTTTATACGTTATAATTAACACTTTGAAGTCAATGCGGAAATGAATGGGCAGCCAATGTAAGGCAGCCAGAGTGGGAGAGATATGCTGGTGTTTTCTCAACCCACTAAGGAGTCTGGCCACCACATTCTGCACCATTTGAAGCATCCGCATGAATCTCAAAGCCCCATATAGAGCCCCACATAGAGCGCATTACAGTGGTCTATTCTCAAGATTATGAGCGCATGGATGAGAGTGGTGAGGGACCCCCCATCAAAGTAGGGTAGCAGCTGGGCGATCTGCCACAGATGGAAATAGGCAGAACGGGCCACGGACGCCACCTGGGTTTCCATGGTAAGCATCGGGTCCAGATGTATCCCCAAGCTGCAGACGCCACTCCGTGCAGTGAGAGTCACCCCCCACAAAGAGAGGGAGTTCCCCAAACTGCCAATGGAAGGGCCACCCACCCTCAAGACCTCCGTCTTGTCCGGGTTCAGCCTTAACCCATTCAGCTGCATCCATTGCAGTACGTCCTCCAAAGAGCGCTGAAGGGACAGACCAGCATCCACTGAAGTAGGCGAAAAGGAGATGCAGAGCTGGGTGTCATCAGCGTAATGATGGCACGAAGCCCCACACCCCCTGATGACCCCACCCAGTGGCCTCATAAAGATATTAAACAACATTGGGGAGATCATTGACCCCTGCGGAACCCCACAATTGAGACTCCACAGGGCTGAAATATTTTCTCCAAGCTGTACTCTATGGGAATGGTCCTCCAAGAAGGAATGGAGTCAGGCAAGTGCCAGGCCACCAATTCGCAGCTCAGAGAGCCTCAGGAGGATACCGTGGTTGATGGTATCGAAGCCGGCTGAGATATCGAGGAGGACCAACAAGGACATGTTGCCCCTGTCAGCCTCCCTCAACAGGTCATCCAACAGTGTGACCAATGACATTTCTGTGCAGTGGCGTGGCCTGAAGCCCGACTGAAATGGATCCAGGGCATTGGTTTCATCCAAAAGAGCTTGAAGCTGATCAGCCACCACCCTCTCCACCATTTTGCTGAGGAAGGAAACATTGGCGACGGGCCTATAATAGCCAATATTGTATGCCACCAAATTTGGTTTCTTCCTAATGGGCCTACTGAGTTTCTCCTTGAGGGCAAGAGGAACGTTGCCCTCCTGGAAAGACCCATTAATTGTCGCTGTGACCCATTTCGTTGTTATGGGCCTGGCTGCTTTGATTAGCCAGGCCTGGCAAGGGTCAAGAGAGAAAGTGGTAGCCTGACAGCGATCAAGCACTTTGTCCACAAAACCTGGTGTCACAGGCTAAAAGAGTTCAAGTGTCACCAGGCAAGGTGGAGCGCTAGACATCTCTGCTTGCTCCACTTTGTTTAAAGAAGGAGAGAGATCCCGGCGGATGGCCTCCACTTTTGATTTTAAAATGCTGCAAATTGGTCAGGTGAGATATTAGTAGGAGGTCTGTCACCCAGATCAATTCCGGATAGATCGCGAACTATACGGAAAAGTCCCGCCTGCTGATTTGAAGCTTCGTTTATCCGATCAGCAAAGTGTGATAATGTAGCAGCCTTCACCTTAGCTAGGTAATAGTTAGTTGCGATCCTGACAGCTTTCTTATCATAATCTGTCAGTTTATCTCTCCAAATGCACTCTAGCCATCTCCTATTTTGCTTCATAGCTCGTAGTTCCTGATTATACCAGGCCCCTGGCCAAGCTCTGCGCTGGAGAGGGCATTTAGGAGCGATCATGTCTACAGCCCTAGTGGCGGTGGCAAGCCAGCCATCAACCAGAGCTTTGACAGGGGCACCAGACATATCAGCTGGAATCCCTCTCATGGTATCCTGGAACTGCAATGGATCCAGTAACCTTCAAGGGCAGACCACTGAAATAGGTCCATGCTCCCTGCGGGGAGGGAGTGTCACTGAGATTATATTTTATTACAGACATGGGCAAAGTGCGGCCTGAGGGCCCATTTTATTACAGACCTGGGCAGAGTGTGGCCTGAGGGCCACATATGGCCCACAAGCTGCTCCTGTCCAGCCCACTGACAGTTTTGAACATCAAAACCATTTATAGCTTTTTGTCTAAAGTTGACCAGTTGCTTATCTTTAACATACTGCAAAAAACCTCTTTAGTATTTGTGAAGATTAACAAGTTCAAAATAAAAACAATCATAACATCACTGTTTCATTTTATTTTTAAGTAAAGTTGGTTCGGCCCCCGAACACAGTTCAGATTTTTCATGTGGTCCCCCTATAGAAATTAATTGCCCACCCCTGTTTTATTAGGTGGTGATCTGACCATGACAAGGGGACTGACACCAGGTCAGTCACCATCAGAACACACTCGCTCCATTCAGTGGAAAATACCAGGTCTAGCATATGGCTGCCCGCATGTGTGGGACCGTTGACATGTTGGGACATGTCCAAGGAAGCCATGGTTTCCAAGATCTCAAGAGCTGGACTGGAAACCTCTGCCTCCGCATGGATATTGAAGTCACCCAGGACTAAAATCCTCGGGGACTCCAACAGTGCCATGGAGACAAAGTCCACCAGCTCCGGTAGGGAGGTGGCTGGGTCGCGGGGAACGCAGTAGCCCAGCAAGATCCCAATACCATCCGTGGCCCCAACAAACACCTCGAGGGCCTCCAGACCCAGCTTTACCACCGTAGAGTGCTCAGTAACCTCAAGAGTATTTCTATAAACAATGGCTACTGCTCCCCACCCCTCCAGTCTACCCTGTTGCTGGATGGCATAACCAGGAGGACAAGCCAGGGTCAAGGGAACTCCCCCTTTTCCGCCCATCCAGATCTCAATTATGCACACCAGGTCTGCATCCTCCTCCAGAATAAAATCTTGGATAATCTGAGATTTGTTGGACACAGACCTGGCATTTAGCAGCACCAGCTTTAGAGTGGAGGACCGGCTGATCTGACTACCTCAAGACTGGCAGTCTGTCACAGTCCCAGAACAGTGAACAGCCTTCAAACATCTGTTCCCCATTCTTCTGACACGAGTAGGGAGTGTGCCATCGCCATATGTTCCTCTACCCATGATCACTCAGATGTTATGAGGACCCCCACTGGGGGAGCAGACCTTCCACTCCATGTCAAGAAAGAAAGTAAAAGGTCCACAAAATTAATAAAGATGTGATACAGTAATCAAATTAATAAAGCTTAATCCAAATATTAAATCATAATGCATAATACACTTTAAATTAATCAGTAAAATAACAAAACAAAACTAAACTAACAAAACTAAGAGTATAAATGAGATAAATAAAATAAGAATAAAACAAATTATATCAAAAACCAAAATCCCCCACACACAGTTGGTTCTATCCCCCTGCACTTTAATTATAGATCTTATTTTCCTCTAGGAGGTTTTTGGAGGTGAGTTCAGGTTTACAACAGAGACAGACAAGGACAGAGCAAAGTTCCAGATTGTGAATAAAGGTGGAAACAACAAAGCGCTACCAGTAGGGATGGCACTGACATTGCCATGTTTCACAGCAGGGGGGTAAAAGAGGTGTCAATGCTGAATATGCCAGGGGAAAACGCAAAAAGGATTCCCCTGGCAACTGGCATCAATAATGTCTCCCAGATTCCAAGGAGGCCCAGCAGTGAGATCCCAGCTGCAACCCACAGTGAGGTCAGCACAGAGACCTCAGTGGACCCCTCAACAAGGCCTCCTGGCACTCCACAGTCAAACTACATATGGCTCACCGGGCCTCCTGCGGAGAATTCCTC